GTAGTTCAGGCTGGACTTGAACTCACTGTGGAGCAGAGGCTAGCCTTGAAATTGTGGCAGTCCTCCTGCCTCAGTGTCCGAAGTGCTGGGATTACAAACATGTACTACCATGCAGGTCTTGTTTTTCTGGTAATTAGACTAGAGATTCATGTTTTAGAAAGACTATATAAGAGAGGTGATGTGCCTTTTTGATTATATGATATATGCAGGGTATATAGTACACATTTGACAACAATGATGTCAAATTTTATCCTTTGGTTAAGCAAGTTTCTGCCAGGTTTGTTCAATCTAATGTTACTATTTTTCCTTTTCCATACTGTATTCTGTAGAGGAAATCATTAAGTCTGGCTACCATAGAGATAGGCACAAAGGAGTGTCAGCCGAGTTCTTCATTCTGTAGGTGATAATAGCCCATGGAGCAAAACACATTCTTTGTCATAATAAACATGGGTGTGTCCAGCCCATGTTTATTCTTTAGAACATTTCTTTTGATGAGTTATTAACTTTAATTTCATGAGTTTTATTATATTGAACAATGAATACTATTTTTATTTTAAAGAGAAAAAACAGTGTTACAAAATTTCAAAACAAGATAGTAAGAGAGTAACAGTGGTTAGTACATTGCTTATTGTTATCTTCAAAGTAGTTGCTCCCATTACAAGATACAGGCATGAAAAATTGATGGAAGGATGTAAGCACAAACTATCTTAACTGTCTTGTGTGTGTGTGTGTGTGTGTGTGTGTGTGTGTATGTTTAGGTTTTTCTTGGTACCAGGAATAGAACTCAGAACCTTGTGCTTGCCAGGCAGGCACTTGTGCCACTGAGCAGTATCCCCAGTCCTCTCTCACCTTTTGAGCAGTTTCTTCTCATTACCCAATATCTATCTTATTTACTCTTTTAGCTTCTCACACTAGGGAGACAATACAATGTTTACACATGCAAGACTGATTTATTTTACTTATGAGTATCGTCTCAAGTTGCATCTTTTTACCTATAAAAGTCTCCAGTTTATTCTTCTTTATAGCTGAGTAATACTCCATTATATAAAAATACCATATCTTTTTTATCTGCTCCTCAGTTGATGGGCATTTGGATTGTTTCCAAGATTTAGCTATTACAAATTTTGTTTCTATAAACATGGGTGGACATATATATTGCTCTGGTATAATGCTTTTAATTCTTCTGGGAAAATACTCAGAAGGGGAATTGCTAGGTCAAATGGGACCTCTAATCCTAGTTTTTTGAGGAATCTCCACACTGATTTCCACAGTGGTGCACCAGTCTACATTCACACCAACACTAGAGAATGGTTCCATTCTCCCCACAGCCCTGTCAGCATTTGTTATTCGTTAATGTCTTGATGACAGCCATTATTTCTGGGGTGAGATGGAACGTCAGTGTTGTTTTAATTTGCATCTCTTGAGTGATGAGTAAACATTTTTTCATATATTTATTTGCTATCTGTATTCTTCATCTGAGAAGTATGTATTCATCTCAGATGCCCATTTTTGGATTGAGTTTTTAAATTTGGGGGTTCTGATTTTTTTCTGTTCTTTATATGTTCTAGAAAGAAGGCCTTTCTCTGAGGAACCATTGGCTAAAATTTTTTCCCACTCTGTGGGTTGTCTCCTTACTCTGTTGGTGATTTTTTTTGATTTGCAAAACTTTTTAATAAGATGAGATCCCAGTTGTTGATTCTTTGGAGTATTTCTCATGCAGTTTGGGTTTTGTTCATGAAGTCTCTGCCTACCCCTATATCTTGAAGATTTCTACCTACTTTCTTTTCCAGTAGATTCAGTGTTTCTGTTTTAATATTTAGATCTTTGATCCATTTCAACTTTAGTTTAGTACATGGTGATAGACATGGATCTAGTTTTAGTCTTCAGCATATAGGCAGCCAGTTTTTCCAACACCATTTATTAAAGAGGCTGTCTTTCTTCCAGTGAACATGTTTGGACCCTTCGTCAAAGATAAGATGGCTGAATGTGTTTGTAGTTATGTCTGCATCTTTTAATCTGTTCCACTGATCCTCGGGTCTGATTTTTTTGACAGTACCATAGTGATTTTATCACAGTAGCTTTGTAGTATAATTTCATATCACGAATTGTGATGCCTTCTGGCTTTCCTTTGTTGCCCAGAATTGCTTTTGCTATTCTAGATCTCTTCTGGTTCCAGATGAATTTTAGGAATGTTTTCTGTAGTTCTGTGAGGTATTGCTACTGGTATTTTGATTGAGATTGTATTAAATCTGTACAATTTTGGGAGTATGGCCATTTTCACTATGTTGTTTTTTCCTATCCCTGAGCAAGGGATATCTTTCCATTTTCTGACATCCTTTTCTATCTCCTTTTTCACAGTACTGTAATTTTCAATGTATAGATAGTTTACATCCCTTGTTAGATTGATTCCTAAGTTTTTTTTTTTTTTGATGTTCTTATAAAGGGTATACTTGCCCTAATTTCTGTCTCTTGGAGTTTATTGTTTTTGTACAGGAATGCTATTGATTTTTGAGTGTTGACTTTGTATCCAGCTACTCTACTGAATTTGGTTATTAAATCTAGAAGTCTTTTGGTGGAGCTTTTGGGTTCTTCTGTGTAGAGTATTGTGTCATCTGCAAATAATGATAATTTAACTTGTTCCTTTCCTATTTTCATTTCTTTTATTTCTCTCTCTTGTCTAATTGCTCTGGCTGATGTTTCTAGAACTGTATTGAGTAGGAGTGGTGATAGTGGACATCCTTGTCTTGTTTCTGATTTTAGAGTGAAAGCTTTCAGTTTTTGTCCATTTAGTACTAGCTGTTAGTTTGTCATAGATGGCTTTTGTCAGGTTGAGGTAAAGACCATCTATTTCAATTTATGTAGGGATTTTATTGTGAATGAATGTTGGACTTGTCAAAAGCTTTTTCTGCATGTATTGAGATGATCATGTGGTTTTTGTCTTTGGCTCTGTGATATGGTGTATTACATTTATTGGTTTGTGTATACTGAACCATCCCTGCATCCCTGGGATGAATCCCTCTTGGTCATGGTATATAATCTTCTTGATGACTTGCTCCATTTTTTTTGGAAGTATCTTATTGAGGATTTTTACATCGGTGTTCATTAGGGAGATTGGCCTGTAGTTGTCTTTTTTTACTTGGGTCTTTCTCTGGTTTTGGTATCAGGATAGTACTTGCCTCCAGGAATGAGTTAGAGAGAATTGTTTCTCTTTCAATTTCATTAAAGAGTTTGAGAAGTATTCCCATTGCCTTGAATCCATGTGTCTCTCATTCTGTATGGATGTTGCCTCTTTTCCTGCATCTAATCTGGATTGCCATCTCCCAGTGTACATCTGACATTTTCTTTTTTGAAATGTAGTTCTGGACATCTGCTACCCCAGGAGTTTTCTCCGTGCTGTAGTTTACTTATCCTTTCCAGCATCTGCAAATAGAAGCAATTTAAGATTTTTATTTAGGTATATTTTGGTGAATTGTTGATAAAAGTCATCAGAACAGTTATCTGGAAAGTAAAACAATGTCTATTCTTTACAGTATGGGAAAGGAAGAGAAGGCTTGGGAAAGGATATGAATATAGAGTTAGCATATTTAAAATAGACAAGGAATGATAAAATTTAAGTGAAGTAAGTAGAATATGTTGCTTATCAATCAGGCATGGTGGCCTACACCTGTAGTCTCAGCACTTGGGAAGGCTGGGACAAGAGGGTCACTGCAAGTTCAAGGTTAGCCTGGGATACATAGTTTAAGGCCACCTGAACTGCACAGTGAGACCCCAGAAACGCGCCCCCACCCGAAAAAAAAGTTGTTTAGCACTGTGGATATACTGGAACCTTGAGGAATTGTGTCTGCTTTTGGGGAAGTTTAGAGAAATTTAAGTAAAGCAGTAAATATATCACATAAGAATTAATGATATAATGGAAAACAAAAGAATGAAATGTTAGAACATAAAAAAGAGGCATGGACTTACTTAGAGTTTAAAAATACAGCTTTTTTTTTTTTTTTGGTTTTTTTCCGGTACTGGGAATCAAACTCATGACCTTGTGCTTGCCAGGCAGGCGCTGTGCCCCTGAGCTAAATCCCCAGCCCCAAAAATACAGCTTTTTAAAAAAACAACATTTTACCCAGCCTACACAGTGCCGATGTCAGCTGGGCATGATAGCACCCTCCTATAACCTTGTTGCTCTGGGACACTGGGAGTATCACAAGTTGAAGCCCATCCTGGGCAACTTACCAACTTAGTGAGACCCTATCTCAAAATAAATTTTAAAAGGCTGAAGAATTGTAGCTCAGGGAAGAACATCCCAGGTTCACTTCCCAGTACTGAAAAGCAAAAAGAAAAAGTGCTAAGGTCAAAGGTTTCTTGGGAGATAAAATAATCTGTGTAAAATGTTGACAGGAAAAGTTGAATATAATAGAAGATAGCAAAAGCATTATTGTGTTGACATGAGGTAGTAGGTAAACTTATATAGGTAAGCACGAGTCCTGCTGTCCTTGGAAAGGAGCTTGAATTTTATTCTAAGAATAAAAAGGTACTAGGAAAATGTAAGGGATGAATTCTTAAACATCAGTCTGCATCTACATTAGTGATGGTTCAAAGTAATCATGTCAAGGGTTTTTTTTTGTTTTCTGGTTTTTTTGTACTGGGAATCAAACTCAGGACCATGTGCTTCTCAGGCAGGCACTGTGCCGCTGAGCTATATCCTCAGCCCCAGGGTTTTTCTTTTAATTGTAATTCACCTGGTCCCTAGCAGTGTCAAGACATCAGATTTATTATAAGTTTGTCAAAGATTCTGACCTAATATTACCTGTGTCCTTAGTCAGTAACCTCCTGTGTTATATAAATTCTTATACATATCAGAGTTTCAGGCCTTTTTCAAATTTTCTATCTGTATTTGAGAATTCTGTAAGCCATTCACTTATGAGTGCTGCTTATTTTTATATAAGTTTCATATTCTCTGGTGTAGAAATAGAAATAGAAATGTTTATTGTCCTTTTTTGTTTCAGATTTGGATTTACAGTATAAGATAATCAGCTATCTAAAAATGCCCACTTATGAAAAGGATAAATCTACACAACATCAGAGCATATATACCAGAGAAAAACTCTATAAATGTACAAAATGTCAGAAGAAATTTAGTAGTGGCCACCAACTTATTCTGCATCACAGGTTTCATATTGAGAGACCCTATGAGTGCAAAGAATGTGGGAAGAACTGTCGCAGTGGCTATCAACTGACACTACATAAGAGATTTCATGCTGGTGAGAAACCCTATGAATGTACAGAATGCGGGAAGAACTTTAAAAATGGTTATCAACTTACTGTACATCAGAGATTTCATACTGGTGAGAAAACATACGAGTGTCGAGAATGTGGCAAGGCCTTTATTTATTCTTCACACATTATTCAGCATGAGCGAATTCACACTGGTGCGAAGCCTTATGAATGTCAGGGATGTGGGAAAGCCTTTAGTCAAGTTGGCCATCTTAGAAATCACCAGAGAATTCATACTTGTGAAAAACCCTATAAATGTAAGGAATGTGGGAAGGCTTTTAGTAGGTGCTCCAATCTTGTTGAACATAGGCAAATTCATGTTAATGAGAAACCGTATGTGTGTGAGAAATGTGGGAAAGCTTTTAGAAGAGATCGCCAACTTATCGTACATCAGAGTATTCACACTGGCAAAAAACCATATGAATGTAAAGAATGTGGAAAGGGCTATAACTCTGCCTCATACCTCATTCTACATCAGAAAATTCACAAAGGTGGGAAACCATATGAATGCAAGAAGTGTAAAAAGACTTTTATTTTATATAAGAATCTTGTTCGACATCAGAATCTTCATACTAATGACAAACTTGAATGTAGGCAATGTGGGAAGATTTGTACTACTGGCTCAAAACTTTTTCAGCACCAGAAAACTCATACTGATGAGAAACCCTACGAATGTAAGGAATGTGGGAAGGCCTTTAGCTTGTATGCATACCTCAGACAACATCAGAAAATTCACCTTGGTTTGAAATGCTTTGAATGTGAGAGGTGTAAAAAAACCTTTAGTTCATACAGGAATCTTACTCGTCATGAGAATATTCATACTGGTATGAAACTTTTTGAATGTCAGGAATGTGGAAGGGCCTATACTACTCGTTCAAACCTTGTTCAACATCAGAAAACTCACACTGGCAAGAAACCCTATGAATGTAAGGAATGTGGGAAGGCCTTTAGCTTGCATGGATACCTCAGTCAACATCAGAAAATTCACCTTGGTATGAAACGCTTTGAATGCAAGGACTGTAATAAAACCTTCACTTTGTATAGGAATCTTACCCGTCATCAGAATATTCATACTGGTAAGAAACTTTTTATATGTCAGGAATGTGGAAGGGCCTATACTACTCGCTCAAACCTCGTTCAACATCAGAAAACTCATACTGGCGAGAAACCATATGAATGTAAGGAATGTGGGAAGGCCTTTAGCTTGCATGGATATCTTAATCAACACCAGAAAATACATACTGGTGTGAAACCCTATGAATGTAAGATATGTAGAAAAACCTTTACTTTCTGTAGAAATCTCACTCTACATCAGAGTATTCATACTGATGAGAAACCTTTTCAATGTAAAGAATGTGGGAAGACCTTTAGACGTAGTTCACACCTTATGGCACATCAGAATATTCATGCTGATAAGAAACCCTATGAATGTAAAGAGTGTGGAAAGGCCTTTAAAATGTGTGGATACCTTACACAACATCAGAAAATTCATACTGGTAGAAAACCTCATGAATGTAAGGAATGTGGGAAGACCTTTATTCGATCTTCAAACCTTGTTCAACACGAAAGAATTCATACTGGTGAGAAACCCTATGTTTGTGAGCAGTGTGGGAAGACCTTCAGATATGGCTCAGCCCTTAAAGCACATCAGGGAATTCATACAGATTTGCAAATTGAAGGCCTATGAGAATATCTTTGGTGATGGCTCAAACTTTCTCAACATCTGATAATTCATTTTGGTGAGAATTGATTAAATATTAATCACATAGGTATAGCTTTAGCAAATGAGAGACTTTATAATTCAGTATGTGCTACATTATAAAGCACTCAAACATGGTGGTGCATACCTATAATCCCAACATTCTAGAAGGCCGAGGCAGGAGGATCTGAAGTTTAAGCCCAACCTGGGGAATTTAGGAACTCCTTGTTGCTTGCTCTCTCTCTCTCTCTCTCTCCCCTTTCCCCCCTCTCCCCTGTCTCTTCCTCTCTCTTCCTCTCTCTCTCTTTCTCTTTCTGTCTCTCTCTCTCCTTCTCCCTTCCTTTCTACTTTCCTTTGTTTTTTGTTTTTGAGACAAGGCCTCACTGTGGAGCCCAGGCTGGCCTCAAACTTGGAGTAATCCTCTTGACTCAGCCTCCCAATTGCTGGGATTACAGGCATGTGCCACCATGCCTGGCAAGACCCAGTTTCAAATTTAAAAATGGCTGTGGATATGGCTTATTGCAAATGTTCTTGGTTCAGTACTGAGAAGAAAGAGTGAGTCAGTGTCAGTCTTCTTTTAATATCTGATATTCATTGACAAATTAAGAAAAAATAAGGATCCCAATTTCTTCTTGCCTATGTCTATAACATCCGTGATATGGAATTTTTTCTAAATATATTAAATGAATGACTAAAAGCCTTCCACACTAGACATCAATGGCTGTGTTACAAATTACCCTAACTCTTACCAGAATAATAAACATCTCTCACAATAAACATCTCTCACAAAACATCATCAGGTTCTGTGGGCCAGAAATTTAGGACCATTGGATTTTCCATGAGATTGTGGTCAGGTGGAGGCTTGACAGGGAATGAAGAATCTACTGTAGCAGGCTCAGTCCCACTGGTTGCTAGCTCAGTGTACTGTGGTTTGGATATCATTTAAGTACCCCCACCACGTGTTCATGTCTTAGTAGTTTGGTCCCCAGTTTGATTGTGCAGAGATTGTGTAGAACTTTTAAGAGGTGGAGCCTGTGGGGAGGTCCTTAGGTTGTTCAAGGCTGAGCCCTCAGAAGGAAGTGTGAAACTCCAGAGATTGTGGAACCCCAGTCACTTTCTGGCTTCCTGGACATGATTTCCTCCCACACACACTCCTACTATTGGCCATGAAATCCTCACCTGAGCTGACCATTGACCAGTACTGTGCCTTAAACCTCCAAAATTGTGAGCTAAATAAACTTCTTTATAAAGCGAGGCTGCCTCAGGTATTTCATTGTAGTAACAAAAAACCAGAGCAATGCACTTAGATAGTGAGAGTGACATCAGAAAGCTATTCTCATCCACGGTGGACTTAGATGAGGAAATTCTAGACTGAAGATTGGTCCTGTAAAAGGATGAGGCTTTGGTGGATTTTTGAGCATGTTTTGCATGTGGTAGGAATATAAGTAATGTACTGAGAGTGCCAGTGGTGATGTTTTAAAAATATATCCACAAATTCTTCATCCTTCAAAACTGAAGCTTAGTTTCCTTCCCTTTGAATGTGGAGTGGACCTAGTGACTTGCTTCTGTGAACTGAATGACTATTCAGGTAACTCTCAATGAATGGTGATTCACTCACTGAATGGTGTCACATTTTGATCTCACTGAATTCTTAAAGGGTTTTTAGTAGTCATTTTGTATATTCTGTGAGAAATAGGTGACCTGCTATAGGAACATAACTGAGGTCTCTGTCTGCTCCTTTGAACTAATCACCATGTTAGTGATGAGGACAAGCTTTCCATGGGCTGCCCGCTGCCAGTTTTTTAAGCCCCACTGAACTATTGCAGGTTAACTATTTTGAAACTCAAACTCCTAAGCTGGACAACTTTGAATCAACACCCTCTCAGCCAGGCTTAAATTGTGTTCTAACTACACTGCCTTTTAATGATTTTTCTACACAATCTCCAGCAGCCCCCCACACACTCCCAACCCCGTCCTTCAGCACTGTGAGCCTTGCATCATTAAGTGAGAACTTTGATTACCTTCTGTGGCTCTCTTTCCTTCATAATTAGTTACCCTGGTATCCTTTATGCATCTGATCCTGTGTCTTTTTGTGACTGCCTTGATGTCCTGAATTAATTCAACAGGTTTATGACTCTATCTGTCAAAAACATTATGTTGTGTCTTCATCCACCTTATTCACTGGATCTGGCATTGTGCAACCTCTCTGGCTCTTATTCAAAGTCAAAATGACCATGACCATGAAGGTAGTTTTTAATCAGTTCAGGATATTGAGGCATCCATGGTAGTGCAGTTGAAGGGATTCATGAAAGAATTCTAGAACTGCTTCAGAAAGTGGCAAGAATGATCTGATAAGTGTGTTTGAAGTGAGAGGGAATGTTTCTAAGAGAATTAATGGTAATGTGCCTTTAACTGTAATAAAACTTTAAAAGTTTAAACATTCACTATGTATTTTAATCATACCACATAGCTGTCAGTTGGACTTGGTAGCCCTCATCTACAATCCAAATACAGAGAGATACTGAGGCAAGAGCATCCCAAGTTCGATTCCATCTGGGAAATTTAGCCAGGCTGTGTCTCAAAATTTTAAAAATATAAAATGTTGGATTGTAGCTTTGTGCAAAGGCCATAGAGTTAATCACCAGTATCACATATCAAGAAAAGTAGTTATTATCTAGAGGCATCATTTTATAATTTGTAAAGTGCTTATCAAGAACCTCCATGAACCTAGGCATGGTGGTACACACCTGTAATGCTAGCACTCGGGAGGCTGAGGCAGGAGGATGGCCACCAGTTCAAAGCCAGCCTAAATTACAGAGCAAGACCCTATTTCAAAAAACAAAAAAGAACCTACATGACAGTGCCTTTATTGGAATTAAAGTAGTATACATACCTTGGAAGATTATTTAGCATATAGTTTTGTGCTCAAATCATTATTTGTATACATACCTTGGAAGATTATTTAGCGTATAGTTTTGTGCTCAAATCATTATTTGTATTGCTAATAGTTTACTATTCTGAAAGATTCTAATTAATTTAGAACAGATTCTTCAAGCCCATTCTTAAATTTTACTTAATTTTGGAAATAAAAAAATATTCAGTATGTATAATGATTTAAATAGTAGCCAATAATTCACATTCTATATTCATAATTTAAGGTAAAGTAGGAATTAATAATGGGATAGCAAAAAGCAAATTGTCTTCTTGGAGCTTTTCCTAAATTTGTAATCAATATTTTTATTTAACATAGAGAAAAATTGAAAGAAATATATTGTAACTCATTCTTAGATGTTTACATTCAGGTTTTTTTGCTTTAGCCATCTCATTTTAAGCCCCACTCTTCTCTTTTTTGCGGGGGAAGGTTCTGGGTATCACATCTAGGACCCTGAGCATGATAGATAACTGTTTACGACTAGCTTTGAACACAATGCAGGTAGTTGTATCCCAAAACCTCATTTTAACTCTTTATGTCTGTTTTTAGTGTAACACAATGCAGTAGTTGTATCCCAAAACCTCATTTTAACTCTTTATGTCTGTTTTTATGAGTTATTTCTGTATCATTTGTGACTAAGTTGTAAATGTCATCCCGCTAACACATATAGAAAACCAAAAATAAGTAAAAATTTTGTTATTTTGTTCACCTATTAAATGCTACACAATTAATAAAGGTGTGGCAAGAGGCAGTAGTTAATTTATAAAGCTAATAGAAAGAAAACCTCTAAGCCAGTATTAAGAAAAAATAACAGCTAGGCATGGTCATGTACACTTTTAATCCCAGCACTCTGGGAAGCTGAGGTACAATTGCAAATTCAAGCCCAGCCTGGGCAATTTAAAGATTTAAAAAGAAGATACGTTCTCAGTATAAAAAAAGACAAGTCATAGATGCATCTCAGTGCAAACCCCTGGGTTTGATCCCTAATACCACAAACAAGTAAGTAAGCAAGCAGTCGGGCACAGTGTCCCATGCCGGTAATCTCAGCCCTGGGGAAGCTAGGAAGGAGGATCACCACAAGTTCAAAGCCAGCCTAGGCTACATAATGAGACCCTCTCTAAAAAAAATTAAAAATCAGAAATTCAATAAACAAGTAAATAAATAGGGAAGAATCTCAGTCCAAAGGCCCTGGGTTTAATTTCCAGTTAAATAAATAAAGTCAAAATTAGAGTTGATAGCTGCCTAAAATCACTACCAGTCTATACAAAATTATTAGCTTTTCAAACTAAGGAGTATCATACATTATGCATTGCCAGCCAAACATCTGTAATGACAGTGTTATCTTGCATTATGGTCTGCTCACCCATATCTCTTCTGTCCACAAGAAGAAATAATTCACTATTAAATGTTAACATTTTCCCCTATGCAGTTGTTTAAATTTTCAAAATTAAGTGTAACACAATGCAGGGAAGTTTTGCTATAGGTCAGCATACCAGTGATACTTGATACTTGAAAAATGGTTGCTGTTAGAAAAGCCAGGGGAAAACATTGTCCAACTTTTGGGACAATAAACAACATATGATCAATATCTCAAAAAGACTGATGAGAACCCAGCGTAGTGATTCACACCTGTCATCCCAGCAAGGGGATTGCCGACTTTGAGGCCAGTCTGAACTACATAACAAGACCCTGTTTCGATCAATCAGTCAATCGCTCAATAAAATTAAGATTGTTGTGCATTGTGTTTTGTTTGCCTCTCCATCACCTGGTATATCTAAATAAATAAATAATAAATATTAGTTTGGGTTTTCCATTCCTATTGCTACTAACATTTGGGATGTGAAATCATATGCTGAAGTGCTGCTAAAATCTAATGGAGTGACCATTAAAGTTGAATTTCAGCACTAGGCTGTATGATTAAGCCCCAGTGAGACAGCAGTCAGTTCACAGGGTAGCAATTAGCTGCCCTACTGTTCTACAAAATAAAAAGCTTCACAGCTGAAGCTGTGTGAGTATTCCTGAATGTTTTTG